TAGTGAGCCTAGCGCCCGGCCAGCAGGAGAGCTCAAGACCAGTAGTGAGCCAAGCAACTACTGGCAAAGAGAATTTGCCACTACAGAGCGAAGATTATGTGCCCCAACGACACCACTATGCCCTTCAGGACAAGAAAAAGGCCTCTACCTAGTTCCTGGTTCCCGAAGTGGAGTTATTTAGTCGTGATTTGGGTAGTTCTCAGTATTTCCTTTTGGCCCATCTTATATGAACTTGACTCATCAGTTATGAGAAACTCTGTAAACAAAACTATACTTCCGCACCAACAAAGAAGATCATTTCATGAAAATATGTTCTTTAGTTAATCAAACTGAGATAGATTTAAAGGTCTCTCATTGTTGGATATGTAGTCATGTCCCTATCTATTCTACCAAAGGAATACCACCCATGATACCAGTACCCTTGAATGCAACTCAGATGTTAGCCCCTGTTCAGATTTTCATAAAAACGAAGCTTCGCAGAATCTAAGTTGCAACCTGTCTCACTATGTACGATTAGCTTATGCCACCCCTGGAAAGTTCTGTTGGACCTTTAATAGATCTTGTGTTGTAGTAGGAGTCAGTAAGTGCGAGGTAGAATTTAAGATAAATGGTGCTTGGTTTTCTAATAGTTCGTGGATATCTAACTACTCCCTGCAGGTCAATTTTCAGGCTATTATTCACAATAGATGATGTCCCTGCGCTGTAATACAGGTAAATATACTGCACTAGCTAGTCACTATTTTGCGCGTAGAGGTAAGACCTATAAAAATCTTCCCTCTGGTTAGAGAGGAACATGCTATGTCTGCACAGCGTATCCTGCCTTTACTATTAAATCTCACTTACCTAAAGGAAAAATTAGCAATTTTCGCAAAATTACAGAAAAATCAAAAGTTTTGGAGTATAATGTTCCCCAGCTATGGCGCAAGCTTACTTATGTCCGAGATAAAGAAAGTTGCAGCATCTCTAATTAAACCAAATACAAATATTAGTATCTTTCCTAGTCCCTAGAGCATGTATTAAGCAAATCTAAAGAAATATTTGTAAGTTCAGATATATTTATAACAGTAAGAGACAGCTATACTGCTTACTTACCCAACTGCTACAAAACCAACCACCAGACTGCAGTGAGAAAATATAATCCACTTAAAATTTAATCATGGTTCCCTCCCATAATTCATTGCCTAATTCTCAGGGGCCATGCTCCAGTGCCCACAGCTAATTTCTCTCTTTTTCATCTTTGGAAAAAGCACCATAGCTACCTAGTTTTTATAATTTTATATAACTTTTGATCATTTTAAAACTTGAACCTCATGGAGATCTACATCACTTTGTATATAAACAGAATCTATTGACTAGAATCAGAAGGTAACATTACAGAGCTTCTGATACTATGCAGTGCCAGGGAACATACTACAGCATTTGCTAAATAATGCAGATGCTCAGGTTAAGAATGTTGAGATTAAGAGATATCTGTCTGTCTTAATGCATGGACACCCTAAAGTATCCAGCCGACTACAGGCTGGATGCAGCTGCAGAGACAGGCCATTCAACACGCGAGGCCAGAAATTTGGCAGTGGTTAACCCCTGTGGCTGCCAAAGCCACTGTGTCAGCAGGGCCAGCACCGACGTGTTAATGCTGCAAACAATATTTAGTCATGATCTCCATTGGGAACAATTTTCTGGCAGCGGCATTAACTTATCCAGAGGCTGGACCTGCCAGAAATGGCTGGCAGCTGCAGAGGTTAATGCCGTCACAACTCACAATGATGCTGAATGTCCAGGTTGCAGTCCCTGTTAGGGATGTAATTAACCCAGATGCTTATCCAGCTGTTGGAAGTCCCAAAGGGTTGATCTGGCCCTCAAGTTTGACATCCCCATCTAGAACTCAAGCAAAGGAAAATTGTACAGCTAAGTATAAAATTAAGTTTACAAAATTATTCTTTCCAAAAAACAAGATTTATTAATACAAAAAAAGTTTAAATACATACAAAATAAAAGTCAATCATGAAGTTTAAGTTGGAAAAAAAAATCTTCAATTACTTGAACCCCAAATATATTGGTAATTGATTTGTTAGTGAATTTAGCCACAAGTTAGTCAGTACTTATTGTCCTACTCTCTTCCTTTGCCTTTTCTGCACTTGCCTTCACTTTGCTTTTTAGTTCTTCATGGAACTACTGGTCCTCAGTTATAAAAGGGGTTAATTATAGTCTCCAGACTTCACTTGTCAGTCATACCACTGCTCAAACATGCTGTTGCACCAGTCATATCCACTTGATTCAAACATGTTGGTGCCTTCAGTCACTTATCTAGGCATCCATCAATCACTGTCATTTACAAGCTTTTTTCGTTCAGTTTGTGTGTTTAACTTGTGTAATACCAGACGTTTAAACTAATTGCTTACTTTTTGAAAAAAACAGAAAGGATGGATTAACAATAGTAGTTTAAGGACTCTTAAAAACACGTGGATAATGGACCCAAATTTGTTCTAAAGTTAACATTTATAGTAGCAAGTCATTTCAGCCTCAGCTTATTTGCCCATGACAACCATGCAATCTAACAGAATGTTTCGACTCCATATTACTCCACTGCTACTCCTCCAACATCAAATGATCAAAACATCTTCAAGTCCCTCTGAAGAATGACCAAAAGATTCAGTCTAAGTCAGCAGTGCACGCTAACTCTTTCTATGGTGGTTGGGATTAGCACTGCCACTTTTATTACTACAAACTACAGTCTAATGTGTTAAGAATGAGGGGCTTGAAAAGTGTACATTACAAAATGCACTTTAATTGCATGGCCATTTGTTTAATGTAAAAGCATGTTACATGTGCAAATACATCATAATTCTAATTGTGAAACTGTATCTTTACAAATCTTTCTAGCAGATGAGGACTCCTTTGCATCCAGCTTCTCAGTCAAGGTCTCTTCTTCTGGAAAGAGAACGTGATAATTATATTATATTAGCATTTAAAAAAACATTTCCAGATACTAAATCTAGAGAAGTTCATTAGATATAATAGTGAGACATTTTGTAAACTTACATTTGTTCCAAAAGTGAAAGGAAAAAATCCTTTATCAATGCAAATAAAGAACAAGAAACCCATGCCCTTTATATATATATATATAAAGAAT